TGAGTCATATCTAGAACTAAAACATGACTAAGTTTTAAGTGTCTTTTGAGTTTTTCTCTATCCTTGTTCTGCTGACACATCTCACTTCCAGAATGGATATAGAGAAGCAAAAGTGTCTGTCTCTTGTCTCTGTGTGTGAAATATCATATATGCAGAGATTGGAAATAGAAGTGGTGAATGGATTTGAGGGTAAAAGTAGTAAGACAGCTGCCTGAGGGACATAGACATTAGAAATTATAATAGGTCGGAAAGCTTCATGAGGCAGGGATCCTGACAGTAATAAATGGTATAATTTGTGAATTAGTAAATGCATGGTATGTATAGGGCAATATAACGTTTGTCATGGCCAGAGACTGACTCTTCAAGGCTGCCCATGGCTCAGCTCCTGCATTCTTCGAGGCCAAGGTTTTAAAAAATGATTAGCAATTGTGGCAGTCTTCATGTTTTGGATGCTCATTTTGAGGCACCTTACAGGGGTTCTGATTGTCAAAGTGCTGAGCATTTGCCTGAGTTTTTTATTTACATAAAAATGGCTATACTGGGTCAGGCAAAAGGTCTATCTAGCCCAGTATCCTGTCTTCCAACAGTGGCCAATACCAGATGCCTGAGAGGGTGTGAACAGAACAGGTAATCTTCAAGTGATCCCTCCCCTGTCACACACCGCCAGAGAAACAGAGACTAGGGGCACCATTCTTAGCCATCCTGACTAATAGCCATTGATGGACCTAACCTCTATGAATCTATCTAGCTCTTTTTTGAACCCTATTAAGTCCTAGCCTTCACCACATCTTCTGGCAAGGAGTGAAGAAAAACTTTCTTTTGTTTGTTTTAAACCTGCTGCCTATTAATTTCATTTGTTGATCCCTAGTTCTTCTGTTGTGGAAATAAGCAAATAACGTTTCCTTATTCACTTTTTCTACACCGGTCACGATTTTATAGACCTCTATCAAATCACCCCCTTAGTCTCCTCTTTTGTAAGCTGAAAAGCCCAAGTCTTTTTAATCTCTCTTCATATGGGACCCATTCCAAACCCTTAATAATTTTTGTTTCCCTTTTCTGAACCTTTTCCAATGCCAATATATCTTTTTTGAGATGAGGCGACCACATCTCTGCACAGTATTCAAGATGTGGGCGTAGCATGGTTTTATATAGAGGTAATAAGATGTTCTCTGTCTTATTCTCTATCCCTTTTTTAATGATTTCTGACATTCTATTTGCTTTTTTGACTGCTGCTGCACACTGAGTAGATGTTTTCAGAGAACTATCCACAATGACTCCAAGATCTCTCTCTTGAGTAGTTGTAGCTACATTAGTCCCTATCATATTGTGTATATATAGTTAGGATTATTTTTTCCAATGTGCATTACTTTACATTTATCAGCATTAAATTTCATTTGCCATTTTCTTGCCCAATCACTTAGTTTGGTGAGATCTTTTTGTTTACAGTCTGCTTTGGTCTTAATTATCTTGAGCAGTTTGGTATCTGCATATTTTGCCAACTTACCGTTTACCTCTTTCTCTAGATCGTTTATAAATAAGTTGAGTAGGATTGGTCCTAAAATAGACCCTTGGGGGACCCCATTAGTTACTTCTATCCATTCTGAAAACTGTCCATTTATTCCTAGCCTTTGTTTCCTGTCTTTTAATCAGTTATCAATCCTTTTACCCCATGACAACTTACTTTACTTAAGAGCGTTTGGTGAGGGACTTTGTGAAAGTCTAAATACACTATATCCACTGGATCCCCCTTGTCCACATATTTGTTGACCCCCCTCAAAGAACTCTAGCAGATTAGTAAGGCATGATTTCCCTTTACAGAAACCATGTTGATTTTCTCCCCAACAAATTATATTCATCCATATGTCTGACAATTTTATTCTTTACTATACTTAAAACTAATTTGCCCGGTACTGATGTTAGACTTACCAGTCAGTAACTGCCAGGATCACCTCTAGAGCCCTTTTTAAATATTGGTGTCAAGTTAGCTGTCTTCCAGTCATTAGGTACGGAAGCTGATTTACAGGATAGGTTACAAACCACAGTTAATAGTTCTGCAATTTCACATTTGATTTCTTTCAGAACTCTTGGGTGAATGCCATCTAGTTACTATTAAGTTTATCAATTTGTTCCAAAACTTCCTCTAATGACACCTCAATCTGGGACAGTTCCTCAGATTTGTCACCTAAAAAGAATGGCTTAGGTTTGGAAATCACCTTCATATCCTCAGTCATGAAGAGCAAAGCAAAGAATTCATTTAGTTACTCTGCAATGATCTTATTGTCTTTGGTCCTCTGGCATCTCAGTCATGTAGGGGCCCCACTGGTTTTTTAGCAGGTTTCCTGCTTCTGAAGTACTTAAAAATTTGGATGTACTTATTTCCCGCTATTATCACCATCAAGGCCTTCCCTCTGTCTTCACCTTCATTTTGCCTCCTTCCACAGTCATTTCCATGTTTCCTTTCATGACTGCCCTGTATACCTAGAATGACCCTCTCATCAACATCATGCAGGCTACTTTCCTCGTTCGTATCCCTCCCACAAACCTTGTGGTGCATGTGTTAAACAGTTTCTTGGCATTCTATTGTGCAATACTATTCCTTGTTTTTCCATTCTTGGATTACACACACTCTCCATATGCCTTGTCTCTCTTAGATATTAAGATGCTCAGAGCAAGGACCTATCTTGTCTTTCTGTGTCTTTAAAGCACTATGCACATCTCTGTTAAAATGCGTTTAAGTAACCATGTAATCCCTGAAAAAGTCAGTGGTTACACGCAGGGCAGCCTTTCACTTCCTGGGATCTGGTGCACACCAGGAGCCTGCTTTTAAGCTGGTACCCCACATGTACTGTGAGCCTGTGTGTAACCGTGAATGTTAATTCATGAGCCCAGACTCATCAATTATCCATATACAAAGTTACACTTTCACATCACTACTCTGTATTAGCATTAGACAAGGCAATACTGGATTGTGATGTCTGTGTTTATAATAAATATGCAACATAAAGAATACATTTACTGTTGCATGTGTTTAAAATGTTAATATTAATAGTCAGGGCTTGATAAATGGTGGCAAAATCTACTCGCCAGCTCCGCACTGTGCACGCTCAAGACCCGCATTGTGCATGCGTGCCGCCGGTGAACAGGACAACCAGCTGAAATCTACTCGCCACAGGCAAGTAGAAACAGCAATTTATCGAGCCCTGTTAATAGTCATGCTCTACTTAAATATCAGTGTCCAGCAACATACCTGTATATCGAAAAACAAAGCTGAACTTGTCAGTTTAATGTGACTGAGAGCTTTTATTGAAATGCCAGTGTTTTAGTCATCAAACCACCTAATTTTTACATCCATTTGTTAACCTTAATGAAAATAAACTTTGATTTTATTTTTAGGAGCTGCTGGGTGTAAAATTTCAAAATCTGAAAAATTAAAACAGTTGGCTAGTCAAAAAAAGGGCCTGTCTACATGCATGAAGTGAGAGTAAGAAGTAGTCAACTGCTAATTAATTATTTTAATGATAATAGATCAGGTTAAACATACAAAAACTCATCATTCTTGGCCATTGTGTCACTTTGATGTTCCATTATGTACTGTGTTCAGTGTCACTCAGCTCACCTAAAGAATGATTTATAGTAACAGAGACTGACAAAGATCTTGAAGGGCAACAAAATAGTTTAGATTGATACTTGTAGGTTTTACATATGACGACAGATTGCTGAAATTTTTAGCCTGAAGAGAAAGAGTAGGCAGTATACAAAATAGTTTTGGGTACAGTGAAAACACTGACAGAGTAACACCAGTGGAACTAAAGAGCAGTCTCTTTCAAGTACATTCCTTCTCAAGTAGTGTTTTCATCTGTGTAGTTAACTTGAGTCAGTAAATTCACTGCCCAGGAGCTCATACTAATTTAGACCAAAAATAAAAGTGCACCTTTTTTAACAGTGGGGGTAGGTAACCACTGGTAATTTGCCAAGAGTTTTAGTGGATTTTCCCATCCCTCATACTTTCTAAATCAAGGATTTTTTTTTTAATAAATGCTCAGTTGGAAATAGGAACTAATTTAGGGAGATATGGTATTTGTTATGCAGGTCAGATTAGATTATTACAGTAATTTTTTCTGGGCTAGTCTGTGAATATATACAATCACAGATTGATCATTTATATTTGTTTCTCCTCACTGAATAGCATGTATACCAGGGAGGGCATCTAAAATAATTTGTTTCGGGAATACTAGTAAAAACTAAGCACAGGACTTTTTAAAAATCCAAAGTGATTTAGGAGAATAAGGGAATGTCCATATTGAGCTTTCTGTGATGAATTAAGTCACTAAGATTATTTTGAAATTTCCAGCCAAAGTATAAGAAGTTAAAAATAGTTTTTTTAAAAAGCAGACATACATAGGACATACAGTCCCTCTAAATTCAAAGGTGAATTACTTATGTAATGTAGTTCATCATCCTCTAATTTGCATCAGAAATCTCTGCTGTTCCTTGACAAGAAAACATGTAAGTATGGGAGTCCTGACTAAATTAGTAAAATACATATCTTTGTTAATGTAGGGTTTTTTATGTACTAAAACTTTAACAAACTGAAACAGAAAAATAGACAATGTACAAGCTACTATACATCTCCAAGTTTGTGGAAAATAAGTATATTGTATTGAGAGTGTGAGCTTGTTATAGATGCACATGAGCAGAATTAAAACTGCACAAACAGTCTTAATATTGTTATTCCCAGACTTCTGAATATTTAAGCATGAAAACTTAACATTCTTTCTCCATATTTTGTAGTATGGAATTCAACGTTCTTTCTCATTTGTCTAAGATGTGAAGCATATTACTCATAAAACTGATTTGCTTTGTATTTTTCTTTAACTCTCCTAATTCAAGGAAATATTATGGAAAATTTACTCTAAGTGAATACTCTAGCGAGCTGGAAGTAGAGGGTCTCTTGTGAATTCTTATAGTAAACATTTTCAGATTTTTGTCTTCTTTTTCAGTTTGTTTTCTTTGCTGTCTAAAAAACACAACAAAGTTTTGGAGCAAGCCACACAAACCTTGAGAGGTTCCCTCAGTCCAGATGACTCTCCACTTCCTGATTACGTGAGTATTGAGCTTACTGTTTAGTGAACTTCTCAAAATAGAAGCAGCAACATCCCTAAATTCTGCAAAAGTTTATCAAAGTGTGTGACAGTGAGGCAACCACCAACACCAAAATATAGGAACCTCTCAAAATGACATCATGTCTGAAACTTAGTAAGAAAATGAAAAATATACTTACAAATAGTGAAAGAAAACCACAGCTATTCATAGCTAAGAAATCTTCCATAGCCTGTCAGCTTGCAGTTTTCAAGAGAGTTGCAATTGGATGAATTTAAGAGATATATAGTTAAAAGCATACTTTAGCAAAAATAAATCTAGCATTTGCCAATATTTTAAAAGGCCTAAAATAATATGCAGATCAATAAATTGAAACAGCTCCTTATGCATCTTTGAAACAGCAGTGAATGCTGAATGTTTTTTAACACACACACACTTCTGTGGATGGCTTCTCCTTTATTCCAAGACAATATCTGCAGATGGGGCAATGTAAATTCATTGCATGACTGTCAGAAAAATTCTTGTTTACTGTTAATTTATATGACAAAGAATCTTCTTTCCAAGACTTAAATGGCAGTATTTATACATTCTTTTCAAATGTCTCTGGTTCATATTGATTTGCATTGTTATATTTTACTTTATAAATCTGTGCAAAAATGTATTTTTTTTTCTAATTTATAAATTGCTTTGAGTTTGATCTGGAAATATGGTTATATTTTACCTTGAGTTTTAGTAAGTGTTTCAGGAAACCAAACTCTTGGATATTACAAACTTTGCAACTTCATCTTCACATATTTAAAGCTTTTAAAAGCCTATGTACCTTTTAGAAGATATTTATTTATTTGTATTATCATAGCATTTAGGTACTCCTGTCATGAATCAGAACCCCATACTGGCCACTGTACAAATAGGGGGAAAAAACAAACAGTCCCTGCTCTAAAAACCCTGCTAAGTCTGAAATAAGCGACAACTGATGAATACAGACAGAATAGGGATTTTCAAGTAAACAAACCGTATTGGTCAGCATGATAGACTTTAGTCTCAACACACTAATATTTATTAGAACTATTACTTTTTTATCTATGTATTATATTTTGCAGGCTCAAAATGGCTAATTTAAATGGCAAGATCTCTTGACTCTCATATGCTGGCCAAATTGTTAGTATGCAATACGCAAACAATTTTGCTATTCAAAAGCAGAGTGCTAGCTAAGGTTATTGAGTAAACAATCAGCCTTTTCTCCTATTTAGTCTTGCTACCTGTGATGCCATATTTCAGAGTAACTCTGTACAACACCAGTGATTTTATGCTCTCTGATTTGTGTCTGTTGTGAAGAAGTAAAACAATAACCTTTACCATTTTGACTGATTTGTAACTCAAAACATGGTGTTAAGCAAAACAAAAAACACCTCAGCATCAGAAACATAATTGTGTATTGTATTAAAAGAGAGTGTCACAAGTCTAAAAGCATTTTCAGTGGGGCAAGCGTGGACAACCAGATGTCTTTTAAACTTTGCAAGGATCTCAGTGGGTCAGGGCAATATGGAGATGAAACCCTGAGAACTGGTGCCACCTGGGGATGGGCGGGGGCATGGTAGGTTTCAGGAAATATTCTATGAGAATTTGACTCCTGGATATAAGTGGGAGTTGATTTGGGTCAGTGCTGAACTAAGGATGTTAAAATGTGGTTATCAGGGTAATTGTATAGTCGATATAATTTGTGTGGACTATATGATTAGTTGATAGGGCAGAGCTGTAGCGGGGGGTAGCTCCTGGAGCCGGCTTAAGCCGGGACTGAGCAATCCTGGCTTGTGCTGGCTCTGGGAGACACCCATTTGTGGGTCTGCATTTCAAATGTAATAAGAGCCATAAGGATGTTAAAATGTGGTTATCAGGGTAATTGTATAGTCGATATAATTTGTGTGGACTATATGATTAGTTGATAGGGCAGAGCTGTAGCGGGGGGTAGCTCCTGGAGCCGGCTTAAGCCGGGACTGAGCAATCCTGGCTTGTGCTGGCTCTGGGAGACACCCATTTGTGGGTCTGCATTTCAAATGTAATAAGAGCCACCAGCTTCTTACTGCATTTAAAATGCAGAGGTGCAGTGATCCGTGCGAGCCGGGACTACTGGGTCCCAGCTTGCACTGAGTCCAGCAGCCCCTGTTTGCGGTGGACAGCCCCTGTTTGTGGCGAACAGAGGCTGTTCCAACAGCAGACCCTCTTCATGGCAGCCAGGGCTGGCCGTGGACAGGAGCTGCCGCCGGAACAGCCCCTGCCTAAGGCCAGCCCTGGCTGCCGTGAACAGAGTGTCCTTGGTGGCGGCAGCAGCAGCTTCTATTTGCAGGGGGGCCCAGCTCCCCACTGGGACCCCTGTGGACAGGGGCTTCTTCATAGCAGCCTCTCCTGTTCCACCCTCCCCCGCTGCCTGCTGTGGAGCTGGTGCTTGGGGAAACTGGCTTTTAAGCCAGCTCCCCATAGCACTGGCTCCTGTTCCCCCAGGCACTGCAGGGAGCACGGGGCCAGCAGGGACTGAAGCAGTCCCCCGCTCACTCTGGTTCCTGCTGTGGCCACTTCAGCCTTTGAAATGTACAAGAGCCTTGTACATTTCAAAGGCTGAAGTGGCTGCAGTGGGGAAGTGACCTGAGCTTCAGTCCCCACTCACGCTGTTCACCTGCTGCGCCCCTTACACCCCCCCATGGAGACGGTGCTGGGGGGAGCCAGCTATTAAGCCAGCTCCCCCCTCTTGCTTCCTCTCTCTGATTGATGCAGCAAGGGGAGGAAAGCAACTAGTCGAGTCACTACTCAACTATCGGATAAGCTTATGCGTATTGGATGGTTGACTCGTTGCTTACATCCCTATAATGAGCCCTTGTCCCAGTATGTTGTAAGTGGGTACTACACTAGAGATGCCATTTTTGGAATACAAGATTACACAATTCCTGAGCGCTTGTGGTTACAGATCTCATATATTTTTTCATGAGGCTAATTAACTTGAATGCCTGGTCAAATTCCAACTTTGGGCAAATTTAAAAAACAACAAATAATAGTTCTGCAGTACCTTAGAAACTAACAAAAAATGTAGATGGTCTCATAAGTTTTCAACACACAACCCATTTCTTCAGTTGTACCCACGAATGCTCATGATACCTTCTACATTTTTTGTTAGTCTCTAAGGTACTGCAGAAATATTTGTTGTCTAGGTTTTTTCAGTTACAGATTAACACGGCTACCCTTTGCAACTTTGGGCAATTACAGTTAGGCATGTTCAAAGACCTCTTTCAACTACAGGAATCTTCATGACCTGTCCTAAAAATCTTGAGTAGAGTTGATTTGACAGCTTTCAGCACAGTAATGGCTGTGTTCAGTGGCACAGTCAGTCTCCAGCTATCAAATCTATCTCACCGAAATGTTGGGGAGCTTAAATAGTTAATGTATGTAAAGCACTTTGAGGTGTTTGAATGAAAATCTGTGTAGGATGAGAAATTATTTTAATGCTAGCACACATTCTTAAATAATGGATGGGGTGGTTATATCTGTGTGTGGAGGGGAGTTATATCAAGTTTTTAAGAATAAAGATCTTCTATCTTTAGAATTCTCTCCCAAGTTTTATGAAATGGTTAGTTTAGGTAAAAGTCGAAAAACTCCCTAAGGAATACAATTTTAAATTTAAAAATAATTTTTTACTCTGACAAATTGACAGGTGTCCATTCTGCATATTCAGTGCACAGTCATGTAGGTTTAAGTGTCTAAATTAATTTTAATTGCAGTTCTATGTATCACAGGGATAGGGATTTATGGCAGCACAGTGCTTTTACTTGCTGCTTACTACTATACTACCTTAGATGTTGAGTGGCTTTTGAAGGCAGCAGGGCTGACAGACACCATGGACCAAGGGGCAAGGTGTGGGGAGGCCATCTCCGCATGCCCAGAAGGGGCAAAGCCCCAGGCAGAAGTGGGGCCAAAGACAGACATCTCTTAGCAACACCTAGAATGTGGCATTGGGTCTCCCCCCCTTCCTTCCAACCCTCAGAGCCCTGTGGAGTGGCACTCCCATGGCAGTTCAAAGGGCTCAGGGCTCCAGGCACTGCTGCAGTAGCTCCCCCGTCAGCGAGTCTGGTTGAAGGCTTTTAGAAGCAGATTTCTGAAACTGACACCCGTAACTGGGATGAGATTTCCAGAAGTTCTCCTCAGAGGCTGCTGAATTCTTTTTACATGGGCCGTAGGAGGGGGTGAAGGGCCATGTGCTCTGGCTGGCTAGGGGAAGTCTGGGGCTAATTTTCCCCTCCTCTCCCCCAAGTGCAAGGCCGGGAATGGGGCAGCCACCATCCCCTATCATGGCTCGCACTACCCCAAAAAATGTCTGCATCTGGGCTTGTAACAATCTTTTATTTTCTCACTAGCCAACTACCAGTCTCCAAGTTGGCTGGGTTCTCTGCAAACAGCCAAAGTAAATTGGTAACTGACCACATGGGAAAACTTTTGTAACTCAGTTGTTTAAAATTTGATATTTTTATTGAGGAGGTAGAAAATAAGTGGGTGTTTCCTAAAGTGAAGTCTAGATATACATTCCTTGCACACGTACCAGTTCTGAACTAGCCCATCTTTGAGGATATCACTTAAATGTCATTTCTGAGGCAGTTAAAGGCTTGTCAGTGGCCATAAGTATCCTCTAGCAATTAAACCTCTGAGTTATTTATATAGAGCCCTGTGCTGATAAAAAAAAATGTATCTGTATCCACATCTGCAGAAAACAGCTGCAGATATCCACATCCACAGATGTAGTTACCCACAGATATAAAGCAGATATTCACAAATTTGTAGGATTCTAGATACAAAATTTGTATCTGCATCCAGAGCTGCAAAAATGAGCTTTGGATAGCCACAAGAGGGATGCATCTCCAGCTGAGGGAGTGCTGGCAGCCATTGGAGTGTCCAAGGGAACATTGCAGGTCCATCATGTCACGGATACAGATACCTGCGGATATAAAGTGGATATCTGTAGA